CCAAATCCATTAACAAACAAGATGCTACCAATATAACTTCTAACACGATGATAACCGCACATCTCAATACGATTGCCGTCTCATAAGTACAACCCATCAATGACACGAAAAATATTTGAGATGTACAAGCTGAATTGGTAACAGATTCGGACTCTATTTGGATGGCCTACTTATATTATTCTCTGGCTGGTATTTGATTCCTTAAAGTTGTGTTTGGTTTGAGGGAACCTACCTTTGCCCATCTTTTCTTTCAAACCAAACACAGCATAAAAGTTTCATTAACATTTAGGGACCTTTCGGTGGATTCCTCGATCCTTATCCCTTCTAATCTCATTATATCTTCTCATGAAATTGTGATTCGTCCTTGTACCTTGTTTGGTTCAAATATTGAACTGATAGATGAGTGTTTCATAAGTCATAAGGGTACAAAATTGTGTCGAGACTTTATTCCATTGCGTTTTGTACCATATATTGACTAGATCAAATCAAGACAAATCGAACACATGATTGGCAATTTGATCTGGGACAAGTATATGGTGCAATATCAACTCGAAGTTAATTTCCTTCCACCAAAAATATTTGACATTTTTTATTTTTCATTTGAAAAATTGGACATGTGCTAATCATTTAATCATTTATGTGTTTGTGAGCAATATAAAAAAAAAAAAAAAAAAAACATAATCAATATTCTCTAAATACATGGGAAACACTCCAAATCTACTACCTATTACTTGTTCCCACATCTATACCCACCAAACACCATTGCCATATATTCAGAACATCTCCCTATGAATGAAAAGGGAGATATTTCCAACATGCAACTATTACTTCTCATGGGTTGAGATGTGGGAACAAGTAGTGGGTAGCAGATCCGAGCCCCATGGGAAAGACTAGAAAAGTTACTATGGCTTAGTTTGGAAGGAGTATAAATATAAAAATATAGAATGTATAACATTGTATTTTGTATTATTTTGTATGTATTTGTATTTGTACTCATCCCAAACTGAATCATAAGAGTTCATCTATATTACATTCATCAATATTGGTTGGATCTCAACCAATCACATTAAATTTGATTTATTTTTCATTGGTCTATGTTTCACACAATGTAATTTCACGTTTAACAAAATATACTTATTATTACATCCAACCATCTTCATCTTTTGTTACATGATGCAACAGATGCAT